CAGTTGTAGGGCGTTTGCCTCGCACGCAACCAACATGGCCGACCCGAGTTCGATTCCTCCGCCCCTCTCGGAGAGCCCGGCAAGCTACCAAGAGTATCTCGCCCGCACGGCAGGGCCTGGCAAGCTCCCCGTGGCGTATTTGATATGCCAAACACAGTAACAACAAGTCTAATGAGGGAGACGTTACTGGGCCCGCTCGAGCAAATTGATGAACAACGGGAGGACCGTGTACCATGTAAGCCCATCAGGAATGAATGAATCCTGAATGCAGAGCAAGGAGGAAAACCTGAGCCTTGCCAGGTGTAGCCTCACCCACAAAAAAGGGCCATAGAGACAGTACAGTGAGTACTGTCTTTACTATGTGCATTTACCTTGCACACACCAGTGTGGAGTTTGAGCCCCCAACATAGCATATGGTGTCCCAAGTACTACCAGGAGCAATTCCTGAGTGCAAAGTCAGGAGTAACCATCACGTGTAGTCCAAAACACAAAAACAAACACATAAACCAAACAAACAAAGAAACAAAAACCAACCAGAGATAAATTTGGGTTGGAGATATAGTACAATGGGTCAGGAGTTTGCCTTGCTTGTTGCTGACCTGGGTTCAATTCCCAGCATCTCATATGGCCCCCTGAACACCTCCAAGAGAAACTCCTGAGTGTGGAGCCAGGAGTAAGTCCTGAGCATTGCTGGGTATGGCCCCTCAAAAACAAACAAACAACCCCCCTCCCCCAGAGAAACACAGATAGAAGCAGTCCTTTTCTTTTATTTATGGTTTGTAGTTTGGTGGTACTGGGATTTGAACTCAGCTCCTCACTCAGGCAAGATCAGTGCTCTATTAGTGCTGAGAGCAAGTTGCAGGCAGGGCGTTTAGGATCTCTCTGTCTCCCTTAAGACTATTGTTCTTTGAAGATTTTTATTCTGGACGTTTGCTCTGCCATCTTCCTACTCAGTATACATATTTTTTGCATGAAATTGGGTAAAACTGAATTACACCATATAGACATTTTGACCCTTGCATGTGGTGAACACCCAGAACCAGATATGGTCCTCTGAACACTTCCAGGAGTAAATTCTGAGCACTACTGGATGTGGCCCCCAAGTAAACCAACAAACCAACAAACCATAATTATAGCCCGAGATTCAGTGTTATACAGAAACCCTTGGTTGGGGCACCAGGTGGGATGGGGGAGAGATAGTCATGGAGACGTCTTAGGAGTGGGGATGTTCTTACTTTCTTTGTGCTCTGAGACTTTAAAACATTTTAATGTGTACTCCAGTCAGAGGGGAATATATCCCCAAAAATGACAGATGCTAAACACCCACTGAATTCCTGAAGGAGAGAGTATTGGTTTCAGTGGCCACACTCGATCCGGAGAGAAAAAGGAATTTTCTTCAATGGCTCCTGAAGACACGTGTTGAGCAGAATCTTCATGTGCAAAGATCTACTGAGTTTTGAGAAGTTGCATTGATCTCAACTGTAAAATATGCTTGGAATGAGGTTAAGGGAATTTTCCTCAAGGTCAAAAGTTTCCTGGACAGCAATCGGGGGTGCGGGGGGCACTTCCTGGATGATGAGCCTTCTCTGTGGGATGAAGCGTGTCTTTCAGTGAAAATGTCCCTCCAGACACCCCAGATGAAGCAGGTGCAGTCTTCTCCTTCCCCGCCTTCTCCTGATTTAAGCCTGGTGACCATGATCTTCTGCAAGCAAGGCTTCGGTATGTGGGTGTCAGGACTAATTCTCCATTCCGCATTGGAATAGCTCCCTACAGAGACGTCTCTGGAACTAAACCATTTATAATTTAGAATCTCAAAAGCACGCCACAGGACCTTTCATGATAGGCTAAGTAAGACTGTAGCATTGTCCTCCCGTTGTTCATCGATTTGTTCCAGCGGGCACCTGGAACATCTCCATTGTGAGATTTGTTGTTATGGTTTTTGGCATATCGAATACTTCATGGGTAGCTTGCCTGGCTTTGCTGTGTTGGTGGAATACTCTCGGTAACTTGCCGGGCTCTCCAAGAGGGGTGGAGGAATTGAACCCGGGTCGGCCGCATGCAAGACAGATGCCCTACCCACTGTGCTATAGCTCTGGCTCATGCAAAGTAAGCAATGGAAAATAAATTATCTAGTGTCTGCCTCTGGAAGGCAGGCTTGAATGATGGTGGGAAAATTTGAGCAAAATATAATGCTCAAAAGTAGAGAGTGTCTGGCAATTGTCTGGGATGGAAGGTGGGGGGAACGGATAATGAGGTTATTGGTGGTGGAGGGTCGCTTGATCCATCATTGTATGGCTGAATCTCAAACATGAAAGCTTTGTAATTGAATTTCACGATAGTCCAATAAAAAAAAATTTTTTTTTAAAAAAAGGAAAGAAAAAGAAAATGTCCCACCAGAAAATACAGAATAATTAACTGCGCTTTGAGCTTAGATGGCAGCGGTGGTAGAATGTGGGTGTGGCTGTTGCAACTACCCAAAGGATGGGATTGGGGGTGGGGAGGTAGCCTGCCTCGGGGTCACTTTTGAATCCAAGGTCAACTCTAACTTCTGAACATCAGTAAGTGTGTCTCAAACAACCTTCCCCACAAAAGAGTGACTTTTTAGGTTAGTTTCCTTTTAATTTCTATGCTCTACACATAGAAACTTTTTTTTGGGCCTTTTTAAGGTTTTGGGGGCCACGCCTTGCAATGCTCAGGGGTTACTCCTGGCTCTGCACTCAGGAATCACTCCTCCTGGCAGGTATTTGAGGGACCATATGGAGTGCTGGGGATGAAACTTGAGTCGGCCACATGCAAGACAAGCCCCCTATTCGCTGTACTATCTTCCTGATCCCTACAAATAGAAACTCTTTTGCTCGATTTGCTCGAGCGGGCCCAGTAACGTCTCCATTGGAGACTTTGTTGTTACTGTGTTTGGCATATCGAATACGTCATGGGGAGCTTGCCAGGCTCTGCTGTGTGGGCGAAATACTCTCGGTAGCTTGCCGGGCTCTCCGAGAGAAACTCTTAATAAAAAAATATTGAATCACCATGAAATACACAGTTACAAAGCTATTGATGCTTCGGTTTCAATCATACAATGTTACAACACCTTCACCAGCGCAAGTTTCCCACCACCAATGTCCCCAGTTTCCCTCCAGCCCCCAACCCAGACACCCTGCCGCCCAGCCTGCCTCTATGGCTGACAATTCTCTCCTCTCTTTTCCCTTTTCCCCTCCCCCCACCAGCTTTTTGGGCCACACACAGCTATGCTTGAGATTTATTTACTCTTGGCTTGAGTCTCAGGAATTACTCCTGGTGGTGCTTAGGAAACCGTATGGGATGCCGGGGGTCTAACCCAGATGCGCTGTGTACAAGGGTAATGCCCTATTGCTGTACTACCACTCTGGCCGCTCTCTCTTTTCCTTTTAGCCACTGTGGTTTGCAATACTATTGCTGAATGGTTATCATGCATATTCCTCTACCTCCTTTCAGCACACAGTTCTTGTCTAGAGTGATCATTTACAACTATTATTGTCATAGTGGTTTCTTCTCCGTACGGACAGCACTCTCCCAAACGTTTCGCAAGCTTCCTACCTCGGTCCAATTCTCATGGCCTTCATCTCTACTGTCTTTGGGATTATGCTCATACTGTACATTAAAAAAATGAGCACTATCATTTTTTAAAAATTAATTTATTCATTTGGGTTGGAGAGATAGCAAGCGTTTGCCTTGCATGCAGCCTCTCAGCCGACCCAGGGTCGATTCCTCTGCCCCTCTCAGAGAGTCCGGCAAGCTACCAAGAGTATCTCGCCCGCACGGCAAAGCCTGGCAAGTTACCTGTGACGTATTCAAAATGCCAAACACAGTAACAACAAGTCTCAAAATGGAGACGTTACTGGGCCCGCTCGAGAAAATTGATGAACAATGGGAGGACCGTGACCGTGGACTGTGATTTATTTATTTATTGAATCACGGTGAGAGCAGTCACAAAGCCTTTCAGCCAAGTCTCGGTCAGTCATACAATGATCAAACACCCGTCCCTTCACTAGTGCACATTTTCCACCACCAAGAACCCCAGTATACCCCCCTCTCACCTACCCCGTGCACGATCATTCTATGTCTGTCTCTCTCCCTCTGACTCATTTCACTCGGCATGATACTCTTTTTTTTGAGGGGGGTGGTCACACTCGGTAATGCACAGGGATTACTCCTGGCTCTACACTCAGGAAATACTCCTGGCAGTGCTCGCGGGACCATATGAAATGCTGGGAATCGAACCCGGATCGGCTGTGTGCAAGGCAAACACCCTACCCGCTATGCTATCACTATAGCCTCTCAGCATGATACTCTTCATGTTCATCCTTGCATATGCAAATTTCATGACTTCATTTTTCCTAACGAAGGCATAGTATTCCACTATGTAGATGTACCCTTTTCTCAGGCACCTGGGTTGTTTCCAGATACTGTCAATAATGAATAGTGCTGCAATGAACATAGGAATGCAGATGGCTTTCCTGCATTATGTTTTGGGCCCTAGAATATGTTCCCAGAGATGCCAGGTATTGAAACTGTTTCAACAATGGAACATATCGATGTGGTTGTGTTCAAAGACTCCTTCCCACAGGCCATGATATTTTATCAATTATTTCTGTGATAAAATCAAGAACAGATAAACTATTCCCTTTTTCAGCACAGAGTAGTGCCTACCTTTATTAGCAAAATTCTGCAATACCTTGGGTGAAGCAGTTCATGGGCCTTTGATTGCCCCTCCTTTTCTTTTCTTCTCTGAATTAACATTTGATCCAAGCAACTAATCTGGTCACAGGAAAGGATCTAATCTCTTGGGATTCAGGTACCCACCCTACTCTCCCTTTTTCCTTATTGGAGGAAAGCACTTGTGAAAGGAAGATGAGATTAGCAAGGCCTATAAAAGCATCAGGCTCCTAAGAAGAGATGGAGAACTTTACCATCCTCAAGTCTTACTACAGGAGCTCCAGGAGGTGTAAGACGGGTCCACCATGTCTGAATTGGTAAGTTAGCTATGGAGCTAATAATAAACACAGGTAACTTATGGTCAGCAATGTGTGGGTATGGTGATATTGGCCCTGGTTGTTTTTTTTTTTTTTTAAATAGGAAAACTATCTGGGACATTTTCCTTAACAGGTTTTTCAGAGACATTCTCAGAGAATAGATTACAGGTTTGGGTTTTGTCTCCAAGGGTTGTCTTATATTCACCCCAAATTATCGATTTTTTTTCCTGAGTTGCATCATTTCTATGTGTATAGATATACATCCATACCTTTACAAAGTAGAATGTTTAAAATAAAAAGCATGTAACTTCTGGGGAGTTCTGATACCTGTGTTCTGTGCCCTTGATTTATAGTTTCGTATAGTGCTTTCTGTGATTTTCTGGTATCATTGCTTTTTAACAAAAGCTTATTCAGGTTATACAACATATTTAGGATACAGTCCTCACTCTGGGCTGGATTGATAGCACAGCGGTAGGGCCTTTGCCTTGCATGCAGCTAGCCCCGCCAAGCCGAGTTCAATTCCTCTGCCCCTCTCAGAGAGCCCGGCAAGCAGCCAAGAGTATCTCGCCTGCATGGCAAAGCCTGGCAAGCTACCCGTGACATATTCGATATACCAAACACAGTAACAAGTCTCACAATGGAGACGGTTACTGGGCCCGCTCGAGCAAATCGATGAATAACGGGAGGACCGTGACCGTGACTGTGAGTCCTCACTCTAGTTTGCAATGTTTGTAAGGAGATATTGGTCTGGACAGTGAAAAATCCTATGCCTGCCATGTGTGAGGCCCTGGGTTGCACTCTTAGCAACACAAAACAAGAAACGGAAAGAAAGGGAATTGCACCTTTTCACCTGATGTTTCTGCAGGTTTCCCTTAGTGGAAGAACAAGGGCGATGAACTCATTACAAGTCCGTCTTGTTGACCTGGCGAGGTGGACGCTGCTGAAGCACCAAGACTTGGCCATCGCCTCTCTGGAAACCCTTCCCTCAGAGCTCTTCCCACAACTCTTCCTGGACGCCTTCCATTTCAGATGTACAGAGACGCTGAGGGCCATGGGGCAGGTCTGGCCCTTCCCCACTCTCCCATTGGGGAGGCTGTTACATGAAATTCTTCCTTGTATGAAGAGTTTAGGAGCAGTGCTGGAGGGAATTGATGTGTGGCTTGGTCAGGAGGTTCGCTCCAGGTAAGGTTCTGGACAACCTGGTAGGGTGACAGGCATCCTGGAAGAGAGAGTGGGTCAGGGAGAGAAGGGGCCAGTAGGTGGATCAGACACGTCTGATACCAATGGAAAACTGAGTGTGCTCTTGCACTGGGGTCTCTCAGGGTGAGAACCTTCTAGAAGTGAAGCGTAGCCCATCTTAGGAGACTGTGTCTGAAGGAACCTGTCTTTATCGTCTTCCTACCAATCCTTAAGCAAACTAGAAGAAGATGGAATGAAAAGGACAGTGGGGGGAAAGTTAGAAAAGAGGGTGGAGAAAGCTGGTGTGGGGGATGTGAAGAAGCAGAGAGGGGTATTGGTGCTTGCAAATCTCAGAACCTTGGGAAGCCCTTTATGTGGCCAGTAAGTCAAGTTCCTCTAACTGCTTTTTTAGCATTCCTGTCTTTTTACTGATATTCTGTCTAGTTGATCTGTCTAGTGGTGAAAGATGAGTGTGGAAATCTCCCAAGGGCAATAGAAATAAACCAATAGAAATAGAGTATGATCAATTTGTATGTTAAAAAAAATATCAGAACCTGCTTCTAACTGTAGGAACTTCAACATGGTTTCCCCACAGAAGGTGCAAGCTGCAGGTGCTGGATTTCCGTCCTATTGGTGATCAATTCTGGTATCAATGGTGTGGTACCCCTGTTAGATGGAGCTCAAAGGGGAAGGCACCACGTCCTGTAGAAAGTTCCAGAGAAGGACACACCTCTGCTCGCTTGGAGGTGTTAATAGATCTTACAGTCTCCATAGGTCCCCTCCCTAAATTAACAGCCTATATCCTTAACTGGGTGAAGGAGAGAAAAGATGTTCATCTGTGCTGTAGAAAGATGATGTTTTTGCATATGCCCATCTTCGACATCTGCCTGAGCACCATTGAACTGAGCTGTGTCCAAGAAGTAGAAGTAAATTTATACTGGAGAATATTTACCGTGGAATTGTTTACTCCTATACTGGACCGGATGAAGAACCTGCAGAGATTAATTTTACATCATGAGGTACCTCACCACATCTGGCATGAGATGCTGAAGGGTGAAAGGTTCTTTGTGGTCCTGTTTTCGAATCAGTTCCTCCGGCTGCACCACCTTCGGGAACTCTATATGGACTCAGCCCCCTTCCTCAAAGGACATCTGGACCAGGTGCTCAGGTAAGAGGTGCAGCCATGCTCTAGAGGCTTTGGAAAGGGAGCTGGAGACAGAAACTTTCTAGGAAAGGTGTTTTGTAATACCACAGGGCTAGCAATTCAAGATGATTCAGAGAAGAGCTAAATGAAGAGGGAACTCCACACCTACCCTAAGTATTCCCTAAGAGCATCTCTGTGCTCCCCACTGGTGACCGGAATGAGCCAGGCCCAAATGCCCATCTTTCTGTGGAATGCTCTGGTCATATTTCTTCTTTCTTTTTTTTTTTTTCTGTGGGGGGTGGGCGGCGCTCACATCCAGCAATGCACAGGGTTACTCTGGCTCTGCATTCAGGACTTACTCCTGGTGGTGCTTAGGGGACCATATGTTATGCTGGGATTGCACCCAGGTTGGCCGCTTGCAAGGCCAATGCCCTACCCACTGTGATATCGCTCCAGTTCCTCTGGCATATTTCATAGGTAGGGAATGTCTGACTGGACAATGGGAGGGAAGGCCACCCAGAAAGTAAGAAGGGCTTCTGGAGTTGCTGGGAGCCTCTGGCCAGGCCGTCTGGCATCGGTAGGGAGATGTCGAGGTCCTGACCCAGAATCATTCTCTTTTCTTGGCTCCCTGTCCAGTCTAAAGTTTGTGTCATCTAAGATTTTATATTTCATTTTTTTCTTTGCTTTTTGGGTCACACCCAGCACTGCTCAGGGGTAACTCCTGGCTCTGCACCCAGGAATTTCTCCTGACAGATTGAACCAGGGTCAGCAACATGCAAAACAAATGTCCTACCCACTATACTATTGTTCTAGAACATTCTTTTTTTTTTTTTTTTTTTTGCTTTTCCCCTCACATCCAGCGATGCTCAGGGGTTACTCCTGGATCTGCACTCAGGAATTACTCCTGGCAGAGGCGATGCTTGGGGCCATATGCAATGCCAGGGATTGAACCCGGGTCAGCCACTTGCAAAGCAAAGACCCTACCTGCTGTACTATCAGCCCCCTGTTCTAGAACATTCTTTTTTTTTTTTTTTTTTTGCTTTTAGGTCACACCTGGCGATGCACAGGGGTTACCCCTGGCTCTGCACTCAGGAGTTACTCCTGGTGGTGCTCAGGGTACCATATGGGATGCTGGGAATCGAACCTGGGTCAGCCGTGTGCAAGACAAACACCCTACCCGCTGTGCTATCTCTCCAGCCCCTCTAGAACATTCTTAACCATTCACCAGACCTCATGAATCTGATACAAATTAAGGTTCTGTATAACGTCCTTGCTTTGAATACTGCTATTTTCCTATTTTCTGTGACATCATTAGTCAGCCCTTTCTGTTACTTAAGTCTCTGAGAACTTTTTTTTTAATCTTTTTTTTCAGCGATTACTCCTAGCTCTAAACTCAGGAATTATTCCTGGTGGTGCTCAGGGAACCATATGGGATGCCGGAGATTGAACTCAGCTTGGCCGCATGCAAGGCAAACGTCCTACCCACTGTAGTATCACTCCAGCGCGAATCTATATTTCTTATTTGGTTATTTTTTTTTTAATATGGAATGCTTCACGAATTGCGTGTCATCCTTGCGCAGGGGCCATGCGAATCTTCTCTGTATTGTTCCAATTTTAGTATATGTGCTGCCGAAGCGAGCACTCATTTGGTTATTTTTTATCGCATTTTTGTGTGTGTGGAGTCAATGCAGTGTTACCCAGGACTTACTCCTGGCACTGCACTCAGGAGTTACTCCTGGTGGGTCTCAGGGATTATATGAGATGTGAGGAACTGAACCCAGGTAGGCTGTATGCAAGGCAAATACCCTACTTCTCCTGCCCAAGATTATATTTTTTAATATTTTCTTTATCTGGACACACATGTGCTCCTGAGTGTTGATTGAAAAGCACCACTCACAGCGACTTGTGTCATCTAGCCGAACACGGTTGAGTATAATTAGTTTAATCTTCCTATGTCACAATCCATGATGATCGCTTGATTGAAACACTGTTTCTTGTTCTCCCTTAAGGAATTGGTTTAAAATGCCACTTCCTGCTTCCTCCCAGCAAATTAGTGGATTATGAGTGCTCCTCTGAGCCTTAGAGAGTTTTTGAGAGTTTGTGAAACTGACCAACAACACTGTTGAAGGCAACACATTACCCCTTCAAGCGAAAGCGGGTCCCTCTGGGCTGGCCTCCCTAAGAACATCAGATTCTGATGGATCTTAGAGGATCAGTCTTCTCTCTCGAGATCCATCTCCATGCACAACCCTATTCTTCAGATTTAACTGTTCCGTGTCTTCCCAGGTGCCTGAGGACCCCTTTGGAGACCTTGTCCCTCACAGAGTGTCCACTTCTAGAGCAAGACTTGATCCATCTGGGCCAGTGCCCCAACCTCAGCCAGCTGAAGGAGTTGAGTCTGAGAGGCACTTCCTTGAGCCTGGTGAGGGAGCCCCTGCGCGTGCTGCTGGAGAACTGTGTGTCCACCCTGCAGGACCTGGACTTAGAGATGTGTGGGCTCCAGGACTCTCACCTGGAGGTCATCCTGCCTGTGCTGAAACTCTGCTCTCAACTCAGGATCCTGAAACTCTTTGGGAACCGCGTGTCCAAGGCCGTCCTGGTCCAGATGCTGTGCCACCTGGCCGGGCTGCCCCACTTAACGCTGGAGGTCTATCCGGCCCCGCAGGAGAGCTACAGGGATCAGAACAGGCTCCACCAAAGGACCTTTGATCTGCTTTGCACAGAGCTGAGGGGGGTTTTCAGGGACCTTGGAAAGCCCAGGGTGATCTTGGTGAGCACTGAGCCCTGTTCTTTCCATGGAAAGACTATTCTTCACAACTGTGAGCCCAGGATGTCCTCTTACCCCTGCTGCCATTATCAGACTCAAAAGATTTCATTTCTGAATTGAGAAAGAGGAAAGAGCTACCCGGTGTCTATACAGGGACACAGACCGGTGGTGTGAAGGGAGATTCATGAGATGGTCAAAACCGGGATGCGTAGCTGGTATCTTTGTATTTGAACAATGGGGTCTTGTCTCCAGAGTCAGACATAACTTTGGAATTCTTGAGCCATTTCATCCTTTGGGCTACATATGAGAGAGTGAGTGTTCTTAATGTGGAACATTTTATAGAAGATCAGAAATGAAGAGATCGGTTCTGGGGCTGGGACTCAGCAGGCGTGTGTTACGCCTTACATCTGAAGACCAGTGTTCCATCCCCGACAGTACACAAATAAAATGGAACTTCAAAGAACCCCCCCCCCCCCCCCGCCAACCTTGTCTGTTTTCTTTGCCATGTGTAGGATAACACTGGTTTGTCCTTTATCCCCTGCTACATGGAGCTTAGGTTTATCAGGTGATACCCATCACTGTGCTCCTGAAGCACCTCCACAGAGGCGGGGAGGGGTGGGGGAACGGGGTGGGTGTGGTGGGAGGGATGCTGGGACCATTGGTGGTGGAAAATGGGCACTGGTGGAGGGATGGGCACTCAATCATTGTATGACTGAAGCACAAGCATGAAAGTTTGTAAGTCTGTAAATGTACCTCACGGTGATTCACTAATAAAAAATGGAACTTCAAAGGACCCCCCTGCCAACCTTGTCTATTTTCTTTGCCACGGACTCACCTATTGGCCCATACTCCCTGCTGGATGCCAGGTCCTGATGGTCCCAGAGGTGATCCACATGATGTCCCAAGATGACACACTTGCCATGACCCGAGGCCGGGTCTCAGGACCTCCTTCACAGTTCCCTCCTGAGCTTTCCTCTCTGCAGTTCATCTTCCCTCTTCTTACTTCCCTGCAGTTCATGGCTTAAAACACACCTGGAACCTGCTCTAGGTCTCTGGCAGGGCTGTCACTGCATCTTAGAGACAAGAGCCCTGGCCCATCAGCATGTCGCCTGCTTCTCCACTGGGTTCCTGGGTCCTGCCCTTCGTGCAGGCTCAGGCTTCATGGCTCTTGCTGGAGGGGGTTCCCCACTGCAGGTCAGCTGCAATCGATTCATGAGCACGTGACTGTCATGTGAGGGGATAGGTTCTGTGTTGGAAGCACTGATCGGTAAAGACATCCAGATTCCATCTCTCTATAACTCCACAGAATATTTATATTCCTCCTGTTTGCATTTACCCTATGTTTAAATTTTTTTTTATTTGATATTGTATTTAGGGCCTTACCATAAAATGCTTTCAGGATCCTGGGAACTGAACTCAGGGCTCTGGCATGCTAAGTATTTACAATATTTAGAAAGAAACTTTTAGTATAGAGGTGCAGCAGATCCCTAATAGTCATTTATCAGTAGAGAAAAGATAATTTTGCTTTGTTTTGGTGACGCCCTGTGATGCTCAGGGATTTTCCTCACTCTGTGTTCAGGAATCACTCCTGGCGGTGCTCAGGGGACCAAACCTTTTCTCTTTCTTCCATTCCATGAGTACTGCTGTCCATGGCCTGAAGCAGGGGACTTCCCAGTCTGAGAACAGAAAGAATCCTTTCTCTTTCTTTCCATTTGGTTTTGGCTTTTTTGTATTGGTAAAGGTAAGGTAAAGGTAAAGGCCCTCCCGTTGATCGTCGATTTGCTCGAGCGGGCCCAGTAACGTCTCCATTGGAGACTTTGCTGTTACTGTGTCTGGCATATCGAATACTCTCGGTAGCTTGCCGGGCTCTCCGAGAGGGGCGGAGGAATCGAACTCGGGTCGGCCATGTTGGCCGCTTGTAAGGCGAACGCCCTACCCGCTGTGCTATCGCTCCAGCCCAGGATAGAAACCTGACTGCAAAACAATTTCTCAACCTCTGAGTCCATTCCTGGCTACTTTCTTCCATTTCATACTCTCCAGTTCTCAGCAGAAAACATCAAGGTTTTACCCCTCTTTATGCCAGCTCCAGGTCCAGCATGGTGACCTCACTGGTGTTTACTTGTGTGTTCAATAACTTGCTGACCTTAGTTATGGCATCAGGATGGATAAATTCGAGGGCAGAGAAAAGAGAAAATCCCATCTTGCTGGTTGCTGGAAGCAACGCAGAGAGATCTGCACAGAACTTGGCAAAGTTAGGCAAAACTTCGGCAAAACGATAAGATGATGAGTAAGGAACCATCTGAGCAAGGGTCTGAGCATTAACACAGAGGTTCAAATGCTCATCTCACTTCCTGTTGCCCTGGTTTGAATCCCCACACTCCCTACGATCCCCTTTATTCGGCCAGGGTTCTCGCCAATAGTCCAGGGGGTGGGGCACTCAGTTGCACGTGACCAAGCTAGGTTTGATTCCTGGCATTCCATATGGTTTCCAGAGCACTGTCATGAGTAATTCTTTTTTTCTTTTTGAGCCAAACCTGGTGTTGCTCAGGCTTTACTCCTGGCTCTGCACTCAGGGATCACTCTCTGAGAGCCCACAGGACCATTTTGGGTGCTGGGGATCGAAACTGGGTCAGCTACAGTCACTACCCATTGTACTATTACGCTGGTCCAAAAATAGAGTGTTTCGTTAACAGTCTGTTGGCTTGTTAATCTCATTTTACCAGGGAGGAAACGCCCTCAGCCAGGGAGGGACCAAAGGGCAGACCCTCCCTGCCCTCAGGGGTGCCTTTTTCTTCTCTTCAGAAAGGTCCCTTTCACCTCCAATCCCACCAAGAGAAAGCTCTTTTGGCTCCCATCCCCTCGAAAAGAAAATCTTATATAACTCTGGTTAGGGTTTTTCCAGGATCTGGTTAGAAACAACCAGCTCTGTGCTACACAAGGCGCCCTAGAGTCCCAGCCTCCAGTCTCTGAGGTTCGGATCAGATTCTTGACCAGAAAACCAGCCACATCCTTAGTGGCCCCATTTCTCCTTCCTGGGCTTAGGAACCTCCATTTCTCGACGTTAACTTAAGCAACAACTTGATAAAAGGCATTTTCCCCTTCTATTTAGTTTGGGTTGACATCCCTGTATCAAGAAAGCAGGGGTTGTTATCCCTCACTGGTTTAGTTTTTTGGCAGGGAGCATTCCCAACAGTGCTCTAGGGAAACATATGATACTGGAGATTGTAATTCTAGAAAAAGCACAGGAGCAAGTGAATAGAAAGTAATACTTGATTAGCAAAGAAATAGAAGTAAGGAAGGATGTCCACCCAGATGGGCTAGAGGCCAGTTCAAAGAGGAAATTGATAAAGGGTGTTTGGAGGATCCTCCCAGGAGGGGAGATGCATGTTGAAAGTAGACTATGGACTTAACATGTTTGCCACTCAATGCCTCTTTTGCAGACCACAACACCCAAAAGGAGAGAGAGAACAAAAGGGAATGCCCTGCCACAGAGGCAAGGTGGGATGGGGGGGATGGGGGTGGGAGGGGTATTGTCCATGGTGGTGGGAAATGGGCACTGGTGAAGGGATGGGCATTTGATCATTGTATAATCGAAACCCAAGCACAAAAATTTGTAAATCTACAACTGTGCCTCATGGTGTTTCACTAATAAAAATTAAAAAAAAAAAGAGGAAATTGGGGTGGGGGTGGGGAGGTTCCAATTTTATGCCCAGCAGAGGTAAAATAGCAGACTTTTGACATACATATTCTAGCACTTTTTCAGGAAACTCATAGATGATCATGAGCAAGCTTGCACAAATGAGGACATAAAGAGAAGATACGTCGGGGGCTGCAGTGACAGCACAGCCATGGGGTGTTTGTCTTGGGCTGGGGTATAGTACAGTTTGGGCATTTTCCTTGCATGTTGCTGACCTGGTTCAATTCCCTGGCATCTCATATGGTCCCCTGACCACCTCCAAGAGTAACTCCTGAGTGTGGAGCCAGGAGTAACTTCTGGGTCATCAGAAACAAACAACCCTGACCCCTAAAGAAATCCAGATAGAAATCCTTTACTGATGGTTTGTAGTTTGGTGGTACTGGGATTTGAACTTGGATCCTCACCCATGCAACACAAGTGCTCTATCAGTGCCAGAGCAAATTATAGGCAGACTGTTTAGGATCTCTCTGTCCCCTTAGACTATTGTTCTTTGAAGGTTTTTATTCTGGACGATTGCTCTGCCATCTTCCTACCTTACTATACATACCTTTTGTGTGAAATTGAGTAAAACTGAGTTATACTATATAGACCTTTTGAGCCTTACTTGAGGTCAACCAGAGTTCAACACCTAGAACCAGATATAGTCCTCTGAACACTGCCAGGAGTAAATTCTGAGCACTACTAGATATAGCCCGCAAACAAACAAACAGACAAACAAACAAACAGAGGACAGATAGTCATGGAGAAGTCTTTTTTTTTTTTTTTTTGCTTTTTGGGTCACACCCGGCAATGCACAGGGGCCTTTCCTGGCTCTGCACTCAGGAGTTACTCCTGGCGGTGCTCAGGGGACCATATGGGATGCTGGGAATCGAACTCAGGTCGGCCGCGTGCAAGGCAAATGCCCTACCCGCTGTGCTATCTCTCCAGCCCCTGTTCTTATTTTCTTTGTGCTCCCTGAATATGACAGATGCTAAACACCCACTGAATTCCCAAGGGAGAGAGTATTGGTTTCGGTCTATAAGGAGAGAAAAATGGATTTTCTTCAATGGCTCCTGAAGACACGTATTGAGCAGAATCTTTAGGTGTAAAGATCTGCTGAGTTTTGAGAAGTTGCATTGATCTCAACTGGCACGTCTGGTTGAATTCATCTGTAAAATGTGCTTGAAATGAGGTCAACGGGATTCTCCTCAAGGTCAAAACGTCCCTGGAAATCAATGGGGGGGAGGGGCATTTCCTGGGTGAGGAGTCTCCTCCGTGAGATGAAGCATGTCTTTCAGTGAAGATATAGCTCCAGAAAATGTAGAATAATGAACTGGGCTGTGAGCTTAGATGGCGGCAGTGATAGAATGTGGGTGTGGCTGTTGCAACTACCCAAAATATGGGACTAATTAGGGTGAGGAGGTCGCCTGCCTCGGGGGCACTC